AAGGCGTATTGCCTCACTTTGACCTCGTAAGGCGGTTTTTTATCCCTAGGCAAAGTCCATTAGGTTCTAGGGATCCGTGTTGACCCCAAAATTCAGTTAAGATAAAACGTTTCTAAGTAAAATACCAGATAGAGTTCCAGATAGACTGTTATCAATGGAAATAAATCAAGGAAGGACTGTCATTGAACACTGTGTCATAGAGATGAAAAGGTTATTATTAACAAAATAACAGCCACTCGGATTAAATGCAACTACTTCATCTTATTAAAGTTCACGGATTGGTATTATCAAGGCCATGTCAGATATTGAGAGCAACAAAATTACACTTGTTTGGATACCAGGACACCGACCAAGCCAAGGAAAATTCGATGAGGACATCTCTATTTTTTTAGCTGATAAATCGTACTTATTCCGTTAATACGCGTATTTTGCTCTGGCCCAAGCACCTCAGTCGGAAAAAAGGAAAAAGACTTTAGAAGGGATTTACTAACGGCTGTTTTGTACTTCACTTTGTACTTGATACTTCACCTATCCCATACATTATGTAGTTCGGCCATGAACGATCATTTTGGTATGGTTTTGTCGATTGCGTTTCGGTTTTTCGCCATCTTTTGCCCTGAGCATGTGTGTCATTGCATTTCGAAGGACAGGATGAACAAACACATAGGGGGCGTCGGTGGCCTTAACGGTTTATGCATTGACACGGTGCTCATCACTGTAAGGTAAAGGTCCCGGGTTCGAATTCAGCGGTCCTGTATAAAAAAAAAACATGGATTCAGTCGGCACTTGATGGGAGTGATTGGATAGAAGCGAAGCTAATTTTAATAGCTTCATCACCTCCCAAATACCGAGAGATCTCATAAAGGTCCCGGGTTCGAATCCAGCGGTCCAGTATAAAAAAAACATGGATTCAGTCGGCACTTGATAGGAGTGATTGGATAGAAGCGAAGCTAATTTTAATAGCTTCATCACCTCCCAAATACCGAGAGATCTCATAAAGGTCCCAGGTTCGAATCCAGCGGTCCTGTATAAAAAAAAAAACATGGATTCAGTCGGCACTTGATAGGAGTGATTGGATAGAAGCGAAGCTAATTTTAATAGCTTCATCACCTCCCAAATACCGAGATATCTCATACATTATGCAACGTGTCAACTTTCTAGTGTTCTACTCAGCCTAGAAAAAAAAATTTAACCAGTATTTTTCTGAGCGTAAAGACTACTTTAAACTTTGTAATAATTACAGTTTCTTTTCAATTTCTTATAAAAGTTAAAAAAGTAAATATTTGTTTTTCGTCGATTCGATTTTATTAAAAAATGGCGAAAACCATTTAGAAATGGGTTCATAAAAACGTTAGATATACAGGGTGTTAATAGTGTTAGGTGGATCAACAGAGGTTGCGTGAAACTTTTAGAATCGGAAACGGATCAGTTCGTTGATAAAAACTACGTTGAAATCGTTTTGGTTAGTTAGGTTTGTGTAGTAAGAAGATTTGAGGATTTGTCTGAGGACTTTTGATTGGAAGGAGCGGATGCGAGGGATGTTGGGTGATTTAGCAGTACCCCACAGTTCCACTCCCTATGGCAAAGTGTTCACAGTAAAGTTTGTTTTTAGTGTTATAAAGTTAATTTAGTGTTGACGATCTAGGCGGATTTCGGTCATAGAAGTCTTCTGTTAACGCACTGTCTCTTAAGTCTTTGTTTGGGATTCCACGTCAGTCTTCTGTATACAGTCGTAAGAATTTGACTTGAAAGGAAAATCTCTTTGTTGTTGGTGTACAAAGGAGGACAAGTTTGTTTTTCCAATGTGAACAGTACATTTTACTTCTTTCAGTCTGTACATCACTTTTGCACCATTCTTCGATAAGCTCAAGGTGTTCTTAGATGTTTTAGGTAGCTTGGTTAGAATTCGAGCTAGAAGACAAACTGGCCGCATTGTCCGCGTGGGTGGTGTGGTATTAACAGGTCAGCAGTATAAATGATTTAAAGGGCAGGTCCAATAATGCTACCTTGTCGGACGCCGGCTTGTACCTGTCTGATTTCTGAGAACTCGTTGCCGCACCTCAATCTGTAACATGTACAATTTCAGGATAAAGAGTGGGTAGGAAGAGTTTAAATTTATAAAGCATGCCCGAGTGCCAGACTCCATTAAAAGCCTGTAAAAAAATAAAATATTATTTATGAAAAAATTTAAACGGTATTTGTCATAGCATAATGTCTACCTTCAAACATTGCAAGAATTACAGTTTGTTTGAAAGTAGAGCTTATTCTAAATAAATTCTGTGTGAATTTTTTTCTAGATTGAGTAGTTTATGATAATCAGTAGTTGTGAGATTTTCTCTTGTGGTCAGCGGAGTGATAAGGATGTGTGTTGGTAATGAGTAGTTTTTGAGAAGCCAGGCGAGCATTAGTAAGTTGCCACTGTGGATATTACAAAACTAAAAAAACATGATCAAAGTATCAATTAGTTTTTTGTTGCTAAACAAGAACGAAACAAGAAATGGAACAGATTTATTTCCCAATGTTGCGTTACTGCTAAATTGCACTTTCTTTCTGGCTCTCTTGCCCAATACCTTTTCGATTGTGCACTACAGGTCGTTGATCGAGTTCTGTGGCAGATAAACTAGTTGTTTCAAAGTAAACTACCTTCTTTGTGAAATATCGGCTCTGTCAATTGAAACAGGAGGAATGAAACGATGCTGTGAAAGTGTAGACAATTTCTTTCCTTTGTCTTTGATTTTTTCCAGTGTCTCCTCGAATGACTTTCATCTTTTTGTTTTTGCGTTTTGTTTCGACCTCTCCACTTTTCACTTCCTAATCTACAGTTTTTTTTTTCTATTCATTTTCCAATATTTCCATCGACTTTTTTCCTTCACTAAAAGAAAGTTTCAGATTCCAATATTTATCTTTATTCTTCTTTCAATATTTAGAACCATTTGTCCTTTAAGGTGTTTTGTTTGACGTATCAGAAGATCTACCTAAATTTCTCTTCGGTGGACATCTTGAATCAATCGGGGAAGTTCATCAAATAGGACCATACGCAAATCTTGTGCTAAGAACTTACCAATCGTTAAGCTTTTGAGGAATATATCCCCTTTATCAAGGCCGAAGCTATTTTTAATAATTTAAACTGTTAACAAATACAACCATTTACTATTTCAGTAGAATCTAGTAGTCTCCATTACAATTGTAACCCGCAACTTGTTGTCCATAAAATAATCCATGGTGATAACCACATGGAGGTTACAATTGTATTGTAGAATGGACGAATGGACATTTAGTATAAATTAAAAGATTATTATGGATATAGAGATAACCTTGTTAAGGCCCTCATGCTTTGTAAAGTCGAAAGCTTTCTCATCCCATTCTTTATCTGGGTTTCGTTCAATTTGTTTTTATAAAATCGAAAAGTGCTTTTCGATATTAGCAAGGTCTTCGATACTACCGTGTCCACCTTTTGAAAATATGACTGGTTTCTCTTGTTCAGTGCTAAGTCGGGACGGAAAAGGGCGTGGGGTTACAAAATTAGTGAAGCGTAAAATGTAGTAAAACTCAGTGTTCTTCAAGGCTCCGTCCTAAGCACCCTTCTATTCCGAGTCTACGTTTATCGTAATTCCCGCCGTGGAATTAATACTTGTGTCAGTTTCATCTTTAGTTTAAGATTACAAGAACTTTTAACATTGGACGAAACTTTGTGTCTTTGTAAAAATATCTTTCGACAAACTTTAACTATTATTAGTTAAACATTTCAAAACGGCCGGATCAAGTCGTGTAGATCCTGGGCAACTCGTTCTCTCCTCCTAAATACAAAATATCGTTTTTTCAAAATTCCTTTCTCTTCACCTCCTTGAGATACACCAGCGTTGATAGATTTTTAGAAAATAATTTATCTGTATCCTGTAATACATAATATAATACATACATTATAATACATACTACAAATATGCCCGTATGGTTTTTTTAAATCTGTATCACAATACTGACACTATGGCCAATACTGCACGCTGAGGACACCTGTTGGTGCAAGGAGGTCTCGAGGTCATCGTCGTTTAAGACGATATGTAAATGTAGATATGGATTGGGCAGTATGGTTAGGACGGATTGAGAGCATGATGTGGAACCTTCGGAAGCGAGGCCGAATCAGCTCGTTGAATAAAGAATTTTGATAGTGGGGTTGGTGAGGTTGTAAGGAGCTTTTACAATTCTTCTGAGGATTTTGGTTGGAAGAATTGAACCCGCTGGCATTTCATGGCTTGGTGAAACCACACAGTTACACAATATGTCCAAAGAGTAATGTCATGTATAAAATTTGTCGAAATTTGACGGCGAAAACAGAATTCAATCCTAAAAGTCTTATTAGGGGTCCAAATTGATATTGTGTCTTTATGTGTGGTGATTAGTAACCGTTAGTCGAAGATTATTCAGAAATCTGGACCAGACCGCATCTCACGATTTCTGAATAATTGTCTCTTAAGATTCCACGTCAGTTTGCTGTCTAAGTGTATTACTTACTATCTATCTGACTTGAGTGGAAGCTAGTAGTTCCTAGCAGAACAGTGGAAGACAGTCGTACACTGGGTTCAGTTTTCTTCATACCAGTCTTGCCCTCCAATTTTTGCATCAGTCTTTGAAAAAGAAATTGCTTTGGATAGGATTCGGGTTAGAAGACAAAACTGCGGTATCATCCATGTAGTAGTTAGTGATGATGGTGGTATGTATAGGAATGACATCAGTGTGGTATACAGCATGGAACCAAGAATGCTCTCCAAGAAAGTGGTAGAGAGAACAAGCAAAAATGGAAAGACCCGGACGGTCAGAGGCGTAAAAAATTAATTGCACTGCGGAATGAGATATTTGAGTTTGCAGAACAGTTAACCCGTTGAATTTTTTATCAAAACGATAAAAGGATTATTTATCGATTTACTTATTATCTGATAACGCTTATTTTTCGACTTTCCTTGATCATGATTATCGATCGCTTAATATGCCCATTTTTTTTCCAGAGGGTACGACTGCTAGTTCGAATAGAAGACGACGTGCCAGCACTAAGGAGAAGAATGAAAGAAAGTTCGAAAGAAATGAGTTCATTATGATGGTGATAAGTGATATAAAGGGCAAATTTAGAACACAAAAACAAATTTTCTTTTTCCGATAGACAAATAAAATTCATATATTCAAAATATTAAACTCACGTCCGAAAATGTTTTGGACGAAATCTTTTTTTTTTGTTTTTTGATTTTTTTTAAGACGGCATCCTTAATTTGTAAATGTACTATAATTAAATCTATGGAACAAGATTCGTTTCATCCTGTATTATATTTTGTTGTGGAGGTGTACTTTATAAATGATTGCAGGCCGAGGTAACACTGGTTGAATTTAAATTGACTCCTATTTTTTATAAAAGCAAAAACTTAAAAAAAATTGTAAAAAAATATAAAAATAAAATAAATAGACCACGGGTACAAGACACTATATTGTTGTTAGAATTAGTTATGTGTGTTTTTCTATGCGCATGTTTATATTATTTTAGGAAATCTTAGATATAATTAACACTGTATATACTCGAGTGATATCAGTAGGAGAATTTAAAAAGTAAAATTAAAAAAAACGTTCATCATATGTTTTTGTGTATATTTAATTATAAGGATTATTTCTTAAGAAATATAAATGTAATCTCGTAATAATAATTAGATTTTTACTTACAAGATCTCTAATTTTTGTTTGTTTATTGTGGATTTATGGCTTTTGTAATGGACAATAATTACATTATTTTTTAGGCAAGGTAGAAAGGTTTTCTTAGGCTTGAGCGAACTCCTTTCTTCCATTAGACCAAAGATTGACTCTAATCGCCCAATAGAGTACGTAGCCGTAATGTGTAAATTCCCCAAAGTTTAATGTGAAATAAAATTGTAATTTATATTTATTTATGTTCTATGTAACGTTAATAGCTTTCCATTAAAAAATGCTTATGTAAAATATTTTAAATATCTTGTCATTAAAATTAAATATTAACAGATATATAATGGCATCTAATGTATAAAATAAATTATTTACTAAATATATTACAGATTAAATTAAATATGTTTTCTTTTTTAAAGCCTTAGGATTGTTTTCCTCCTTCAAAAAAACATATTTCAATTCAGCTTTAGTCGGTTTACTTCAAAACCCTTATCTACACAGGATGCATTACGAACAGATGCGATACTTCAGGATTCTACATGTCAAATTGAGCTAAACAGTCTCTATTGTACAAAGTTTGATTCTCGATTGTCTCCGAGATATTTCAATTTTCAGGTTATTTTAACTATTCACAACTTTATTCCATAAAATCCTGCGTGTCTCATAAAATGTCAATCCTAACTCTGCTAACCCTACCTCTATTGGAAATATTCATACAAGGAGAGGCCAGGAAAAGCTCTAACAATTAAATTGGAAAGGAACTAAACAATTCGGGCATACAACCGTAATCAACAAAATCAGACACCCATTATTAGAAATAGGGACTGATTACATGATCCCGGAAACATTCTTCACAACTTCCTATAAAGTCTCAACGGACTATAAAGGAGAGGAAGAACACAGGAGAGCATCAGATACAATGATATGGTACACAGATGGCTCCAAAACAAACGAAGGAACCGGATCAGGAGTTTTCTGTACAAGCCCAAAACATGAGCAATCAAACTCATTAGGGAAATACACTTCGGTCTTTAAAGCAGAAATACATGCCATCAATGCTTGTGACCTGGAAAATTTTAAAAGAGGTTACACTGGTAAAAAATTCCTCATAAGATCTGATAGCCAAGCAGCCATTAAAGCAGTAGCATGTAAAAGAATCGCATCAAAATTAGTCAGTGAATGTATCCAAAATCTCCAAAACCTGGGGAAACACAACAACCTGATGATATCTTGGGTGCCAGGGCACAGGGGAATTTTGGGTTACGACAAAGCAGACAGTCTGGCCAGAGGAGGATCTGCGAGACCATACATAGGCCCTGAACCGATACTTGGGATAACAAAAACAAATATAGAATCCTCCATCGCTGAATGGATACAAACAAAACAAAAGGAGAAGTGGATAAACTCTAGCAGTGCTAGACATAGTAAACTTATGGTGAACCCTCACCAAGACTGGCAAAAGCATTGCTGCAATTGGAAAGGGCCAAACTTAGAGGAGTGGCATCAGAGAAAACATCTACACAACGATGGATACATCGATGATCCCATTTGCAGATTATGTAATGAGGAGGAAGAAACAGCCACTCATATCATCTTCGAATGCGAAGCAACAGCTCAATGGAGATTTAACGTACGTACGGAAAAAACTTAGGGAATCAAATTGCAGCAGCGACGGTCAATGACCTGATACTTCTAAGGAGAAGGATTGACTGAACTAAGGAACTAGAAAGGTACAATAAGCAAGAAGGCTGACTGCAGCCTGGGGAGCGCAAACCCCGCTTCCTAGTATCCTATTTTACCATACCAAATGTCAATCCTACTATAAATTCGACTTCGCCTCTTGAAATAGCGATGAATATCCTATGAGATGAAAGTTGTTATTTTCATTTATGTTTAGTGGTCTAATTGACCACATTAATTATTTCAATTAATTATTAGTTTTAAGTATATATGAAGAACTCAACTTTTGGTTGAGATGAAAAAGTGTTTACCTTCGGCACAATACGCCGCTGCTCTAACCACTTGAGCTATCGTGACCGTGGTTCGAATCCCGCTCGTGTCACTAACTTTTTCATATCAACCAAGACCTTACATAAAAAGAATAATTAATTGGAAGAAGTAATTTGGCCAGTCATACCACGAAACATAAATGAATTAATATTAACGTTTAACTGCTAAAAATGGTACATCGAACATAACCCCAAGATCTGAGACAGATGAGACTCATCGGAGATGATGGAACGCCTGTAGATGGATAATTTGGAAACAGAACTCGCATAAATTTTTAACGAGTTCTTCATGCTCAAAGAATTTTGATGGTTTGGAACAGTTCGATGCAATCCCGGAGCGTGTTCTCGAAAACCTTCATGAAATTAAAACCCGTCCGTTCAGATGTCATTCCTGTACATTTTCAACACTTCTTACTCCTAGCATATTTTCACAAATGCATTTTAAGAAGTGACGCGGATAAATAATAATTAATTGTTGAAAAATTACGCTACTCCAAGCGACTGTTGCTCCGGCATCATTGCTCCAGGGTAAAAAAATAAAACCGGTTTGGGCTTCAGTCGTGTTAACTCGCCCATTATCTGATCAAAGAGATTGCATTATACTTCAAAGTAGACTTTTTAATAATAACTGTTCTAATCCACAGTCTTTTCTGTTGTGTCTTTCTAAGGTTGAAACGAGATAGCAATTACCTTTAATCTGTTAAATATGATATCCTCAATGCCAATTATTTTATATCTGGCTTATCTGACAGTTCTTACAGTTAAAAGGAGTTAAACTGTGTCTAATTCTTCACATAAATATTACCTTTATTAACTACAGCTCCTCTGAATTTAACCCTGTTTGACTGTAGCAACCGTGTGGTAGTTTTAACTAGGTCTCATTAACTATGGGTTTATTGTGTCTGCTACCTTTTGAATTCATCCATTTTTCATTTTGTCGACCCACTCTGAGATAGGTGAGGATTGATCTATTGATCCTGATATCCCAATTATAAGTTAATGGGCCTATAGAAGGGTTAGATAAGATGCTTAGACATTGAGAGGGTGAAATGGACAGACATTAAAACTGGCAATCATAGCTAGAAAAATACGCAAGATGAACTGCTCAAAAATGATATGGGGGGGATATTGCAAATTTTGTAGTACTTACTTTCCCTTGCATTTTTAATTTATTTTTTATTATAGTATTAAAATTTATTAGAAATTATTATGTTTTTTACTGAATGCAAAGTTAACTAAGGAATTTTGAAAAGTAACAAAATAAAAGGTTTTAATTTCATAATTTATTGGAAACAATTTTTTTTTAACAATTAATGTCGTGTGTAATGTCCTCTGTTAGTTAAAACCTCTGGGCCCTTGTTAGGCATACTATGATTAAGGTTGTCAGTAATTTCATAAGGAATTTCATAGATGTTGCAACGCTGCTCTCAGTTGTTGCAGGTCAACTGACAGCGGATGGTGATCGAAAACACTTCTCTGTAACTCATCGCACATGTGCTCAATGGGATTTAGGACTGGAGACAGTGGGGGAAGGGGCAGATGTCATCCAACCTTGATGAACAACTCTGCCGCTATGAGGTCTGGCATTGTCATACAGAAATCGCAAATCCCTGCCAGTGAGATCTCTGGTTTCAGGGATGTATTCTTCGACATAACGGACTGCAGTGAGTTTGCCTTCAATAATATGGAGTCCAGTTCGTCCTTCAGTGTAAATCCCACCCAGACCGATACATCGCCTCCTACAAATTGCACTGGAGGAAGCACGAACTGGGGTATTGTACGCATCCCCTGTTCTTGATAGACTCTTAGACGACTGCTATCATCAGTATATAGCAATCAATACAGACAGTGATACACTTAAGGCTCAGTGGTACACTTCTAGGCGCTCGCTTCACCATATTCTCATGAGTTGTTGGTTGCTGCAGGTCGTCTCAAAGGGGCATGTACTTCTTTTAGAATCTGGTGGGCACTATGGAAAGGGTTCCGTTTTGCAGCAATGACAATATTTCTATCCTCCTTTAGCGTCGTAATGTGCTGAGATCTACTACCAGGCCTTGGCACTTCCAGTCTCTCGGAATCAGGCTAAAGCCCGGGAGACCCGCCCTGAGAAACGTCAACTTCCTCTGCGATATCCACTTGACCGTGACCTCGATGATTTATTCTCACAATAATATCGCCAACTTCTGATTCACGATGATATCTTTACATGGTTAAAGAAAATACAACTGGACTGAAATGAAGAAAAGAGGAGAAAAGGTGTTTGTTTACAAAATGAGAAATCTCATGTTTACTACTCTTAAGTAAATCCGTTATTAAAAATGAGGATTGACATTTGTTTGTTTTTGGTTTGTATTTTCTATTTAGTTTTATCCAACTAACAAGAATATATTGGTTAATTTAATTAACATTGATAGACTAAGCATAAATGACAAATAACCTATTCATTTTTGAGCAGATTGACAGACGGAGAAAAGCTGGACAAAGAATGAGAAAGGGTAAATAAAAGAGAGGTGGCAAAAGATATTTAGAGATAGAGAGAGAAAGTAAGAGAAATAGAGGTTGATTGTTGATTGTTTTAATCATACAAAGTTAGGCCTCTTGGACCTTACACTTGACGTAAGTTAAACATTTTACATCATACATATATTCTCTCTCTTTTTTTCCTTGTTAAACTTGATTTCTTGTTACTAAAATCTATTCACTTTTGTACTTCTTTAATAAAATCATACCAACTAGTAATGTATTTGTTAGAAAAAAATTAGTTAATTGACTCTCCTTATTTGCGATATAGTGCAGCTATAATGTCTGATTTGTCTGATGCAAACAAACGTGGTAAACAAACAGCACAAAATGCATGTGGAAGATACATATTAATACTAAAGTAATATGTGTGATAAACATAAGAAAATTAATATGTTAGGATACGATAAATTAGAAAAGCATGACCACCATATCAGCAATATTTAAAATTATAAATACTACGCATTTTTTAAATATAAGATCAAAATTGAAACATTAAATTTAAGTAATTAATCTTTTATTAAGGTATTGCTTGAAATGAAAAAGTTAGTGTCACGAGCGGGATTCGAACCCATGACCTTCGGCTTATACGCCGCTGCTCTAACCACTTGAGGTATCGTGACTTCGATCCACTCGGACACCAACTCCCCATCACAACCTACCTTTCGAATTTTCCCGCTCGTGACACTAGCTTTTTCATTTCAATCAATATCTTAAATAAAAGATTAATTAATTGTAAGAAATTTGGTCAATCGGACCACGAAATATAATGGATTAAATTTAAGACAAAACAATATATTTGAAATTCCAATTCATAAAACTAAAACCATTAAGAAAGAGTTGGAGTTTCTTAATTAACATCATAAAGATGTTTAATAATGTTCCAAAAACACTGTCCATATAAAGAAAAAACCGACCACCTGGTTTTTGCACGAAAAAATGGCCAAATTTGGAAATGCATATTTTCTCAACCTTTTATGTCAGAGAACCTGCGCATGGTCAGGAGAGAGAGTGATCTGTTTTTTTACATGAGCACATAAAAAAACCACTTTTTCTTCCCAAAAATCGCGAATAACTCGAAAAATGTTGAGAAATCGGGCAAAGTGGAAAGTGACCAATCGAAAGCTTATTAAAATTTCTCATCAATTGCCTCTCCAGGACGTTTTCCTGGCTCCACAGCCCAATTTGAAGTTTTCGAAAAAAGTGCAAAAATTGACATGTTCCCGAATTTTTCAATTTACCGATGAATGTCGGATGCTAGGAAAACTTCAAAAAAAGCCATCTTGTTCAGCGTAAAATTTTCTAAAAAATGAGACCTACAGCAGGTGTGTTTCTTAAAAGGCTGAGAAAATGCGCATTTCTAAAGTTGGCCATGTTTTCCTTCAAAATGCCGGTGGTTTGTTTTTTTTATGGATAGTGTAGTATTTCCTCTGATAGCAGTTTTCGTACTTTCAAAAGGAAATATCTAAAACATCTGATGGAAAATAATTTTTATTTATTTTTATTTTTATTTATTTACAGTCCAAACAGATCACGTACCCAAGCATAGGACAGTCAAACAATTAAAAACATCATAAAATCATAAAAACATAAATTAATTAATATTATTTACATAATATTGTGTTTTTGTATTCTCTAAATAGCCATAATAATAACGAAAATTCACTCGTTTTCGTGGTCCGCTTGACCAATTAATAACGAAAATTTAAAACTAAGTGGATAATTAATTTAAAATCATGTCTAACTATCAAAAATTCTTGTTAAAGTTTTATTGTATATCTTTTATCCTTTTTTTGATTGTTATTCATTGTTTTTTATACATACATAAATACATATTACCTTATAAATTTATAATAAAAAAAATTGTAAAGTGAAATATTAGTAAAAAAATATAAAACAATTAATTAAGGTTTTTAGTTGAGATAAAAAAGTCAATGGCACGAGCGGGATTCGAACCCACGATCTTCGGCTAGATACGCCGCTGCTCTACCACTTGAGCTATCGTGACCTCAACTGAAAACCTTGATTAATTGTAATATATTAATTGGTCAAGCGTACCACGAAATTAGTGAATAAAATGTAAAACTTTTTTTCTTGTATTCTATTTGCAAAATCAATTGAAAATACCAAAAGAGTTTGCATAAATTGTATGTATAATGTATAATTTACAATATAACTCACGTTGAGTGGAAGAAAGGTCCACGAGATCTAACTTTGCGTGGTTAAATAAAATTTTATTAGGTTTTGTGGTCCGCTTGACCAAATAAATTATTTTCAATTAATTAAAGTATTGGTTGAGATAAAAAAGTCAGTGTCACGAGCGGGATTCGAACCCACGACCCTCGGCTAAATACACCGCTGCTCTACCACTTGAGCTATCGTGACTTCGATCCACTCGGACACCAAAATCCATAGTTTGAATTTTCCCTCCTTTTTGCCATTTTTCAAATGTGTAATCTATTTGATTCTCGTCAACAAATTAAATGGCCATTAAATGGAGAGCTTTAGTGAAGATATACTTCGTTTTGCTTATTAAATCCATTAGATTTCGTGGTCCGATTGACCAACCAAGTTGTATTACAAGTGGGCGGAGTTTTTTTGCCTGTCAGTTATATTTTTTAATGTATCCAATAATTTGATGTGAAAGAAGTCAAGAAATATTGCTAAGTGAACTGGCAAATTGTAAAAATTATCTTGTTTTGGCTTCAAACGAGGTCATTTGGCCCTCGAGGGAAGAACGGGGAAATTTGGCAAGGATTTCGCGACAGCACTGGCCGAGCAAACACGTGTCACCAAGCGACCAGGGAGGATTCGCAATTCGCATTCACATTCGCGTGTCGCATGTCGCAGCTCAGGAGCTTATTTCTTTATCGCCTGACGAATCTTGTTTTTTTCCTGCCGAACCGGTCTCCGTGCATCGAGTATTCGCCCCGAGTAACGAAATAAGTCGAGAAGTGACTAAGTGAACCTCCCCCGCCATTCACCGCGGCTGAATCGTACGAACGAATCACATTCGACGTCGTTTCCACTTCCACTTGTTGCAAGCTGCACCGGCCGAGGGTTCATCATTCGTCTTGGAGCCGTTAACTGAGTACGGAGCACACCAGTCCTTCGTGCGTCAATTTTATTTTGCTGTAAAAATGTCACCGAAAGGAAGCGAATGCCAGGATATGGCCAATGTACTCAGAATTCACAGTATCGAGATGACAAACGCATCGAAATCTGGGTGAGTGAAATTCGGCCTTTATTTATGTCCGGACCTGCGACACTTCCACCTTACGATCATTTCCAACTGAACGTTCGACGTTCCCTGAACGCAGTGCTGTTGCATTTAATCAACACCGACAATCATATCGTCAGAAACATTTTAAAAAATTGATAACGCTCATTAGATGTATAATTCGTCCTTTTTTGTTGATAATTGGCTGATAACAATAAACTACCGTTGGTACAACCTTGATCATTTATGCCGGCTAATAAGCTGCTAGTCATTTAACACTTCACGTCATTTAAAGTTCACGTACCCATGACCAGGATTTTTTTTCAAATAACTAGTATGAACTACTAGATTAGTTCGTTTCATGTCCCTATAAAAAATTTTACTTAAAAATCAGTCATTTAACACTTGCTCTTCCTGTCGCTGTAAAGTTTTATGACGAAGTACAACCGACAGGGGGATATTTAAAAAATTCATGTAAATAGTTAATGTAGCTATTTTTCTCATTTAAATTTGTTTCTAACAAGTAAACCTTCTTAAATAACAACAACAGTCCGCAAAAATTATGTGACGACCTACATCCCAAGGGAGGAACTTTTTTCGTGTTTTCATTCGTTATCTAATACTTAACGGATATTTAATAAGAATTTTTGTTCTTTTAATAAGAAGATTTGTTGTTTAGTTAAGAACCACTCTTTTAAAACTTTTTTCACATATCGCTGTAAAGTTTTGTGATGAAGTCCAACCAACAACAGAAGAAGAAGTTAAAAAATAACGTTTTAAATTTTAATTGATTAATTTTTCACTTTAAATGTGTAACTGTTAAATGTTTTGTGTTTTCAATGATTATCTAATAATTAACTGACATTTAATTAGAATTTTTGTTCAAATAGCACTTCAATAAGTTAATACATCATGTTTAAAAAAATGCTAGTTATGAACCACTCTTTTAAAACTTTTTTCCACATGCTGTAAAGTTTTGTGATGAAGTTCAACCAATAACAGAAGAAGAATGTTTTTAAAAATCGTGTTTTAAATACTTAATTTATTGATTTTTCTCTATAAATGTGTAACTGTTAACTAAACCTTTGTAAACAACTAGTCGACAACCGTCTCAAAAAATTGTGTGACGGCCTGCCATCCCAAGGGACGAACTTTTTTTCGTGTTTTCAATGATTCTCTAATAATTAACGGACATTTAATTAGAATTTTTGTTCAAATAGCACTTCAATAAGTTAAAATATCACGTTTAAAAAAACGCTAGTTAAGAACCACTCCTTTAAACCTTTTTCCACATATCGCTGTAAGTTTTGTGATGAAGTTCAACCAATAACAGAAGAAGAATAAAAAACTGTTTTAAATATTTAAATTAGAATTTTGAACCATCCCTTTAAATGTGAACTGTTAACCTATAGCTATTTTCTCATTTCATTTGTTTCTAACAAGTAAACCTTAAACAACTAGTCAACACCGTGTCAAAAAATTGTGTGACAACCTGCATCCCAAGGGACGAATTTTTTTCGTGTTTTCAATCGTTGCTAATAATTAACTGACATTTAATTAGATTTTTTGTTCAAATAGCTCTTCATCACGTTAAAAAAAATGCTAGTTAAGAATCACTCCTTTACAACTTTTTCCACATATCGTTTTGTGTTGTTTTGTGATGATGTCCAACCAACAATAGAAGAAGAATAAAAAAAATAATGTTTTAAATATTAATTTATTAGTATTTCTCTTTAAATGTGTAACTGTTAAATAAACCTTTGTAAATGTCTGGTCAACAACAGTCAACAAATTTTGTGACGGCCTGCATCCCAAGGGACGAACTTTTTTTCGTGTTTTCAATTGTTACCTAATAATTAACGGACATTTAATTAGAATTTTTGTTCAAATAGAACTTCAATAAGTTAATACATCACGTAAAAAAAAAAGCTAGTTATGAACCACTCTTTTAAAACTTTTTCCACATATCGCTGTAAGTTTTGTGATGAAGTTCAACCAATAACAGAAGAAGAATAAAAAACTGTTTTAAATATTTAAATTAGAATTTTGAACCATCCAACATAAAATCACAAGTTGTCCAATCAGATGTTTGTCCAATGTTTCAATTAGATAATTGAAAACACGAAAAAAAAGTTTGTCCCTTGGGATGCAGGTCGCCACACAATTTTTTGAGAGGTTGGTGACTAGTGGTTTACGAATGTTTCAATAAAAGTTAGACATTTTTAGAGAAAAATCAATAAACTAAGTATTTAAAACACGATTTTTAAAAACATTCTTTTTCTGTTATTGGTTGAACTTCATCACAAAACTTTACAGCGATATGTGAAAAAAGTTTTAAAAGAGTGGTTCATAACTAGCATTTTTGTGTGGTGATTAGTGACCGTTAATCGATAATTATTCAGAAATCGTGAGATGTATACACCAGACCGCATCTCACGATTTCTGAATAATTATCGATTAACGGTCACTAATCACCACACAAAAATGCTAGTTATGAACCACTCTTTTAAAACTTTTTTCACATATCGCTGTAAAGTTTTGTGATGAAGTTCAACCAATAACAGAAAAAGAATGTTTTTAAAAATCGTGTTTTAAATACTTAGTTTATTGATTTTTCTCTAAAAATGTCTAACTTTTATTGAAACATTCGTAAACCACTAGTCACCAACCTCTCAAAAAATTGTGTGGCGACCTGCATCCCAAGGGACAAACTTTTTTTTCGTGTTTTCAATTATCTAATTGAAACATTGGACAAACATCTGATTGGACAACTTGTGATTTTATGTTTGGAAAAGTTAGTATGTAATAATTTAAAACGTAATTATGAATATACCTCAAAATACGTTTAAATAAATAAAAAAGTACATATGTACCATTGGAAAAGCTTTAAAAACAACGCATAAACTGCATGAAAAACCCAGTCATTTGTTGAGGCATTCAAAATGTAGTAAATATCAGGTTAAAATGCCTCAAAACGCAAATAATTTAAAAAAAATACGTACAGTTGGAAAAGCTTAAAAAAACCACCTGAACCACATATTGAGATATGCAACACAAAAAAAATTGATTTAATTGTCAAGCTTTTAGTGATTATGCCACCATCATCAACAAAATAAACTAATACAGTGAATTCTAACATGACTCATTGTATATATACTGCTCGCATTGCGATATGATATGGAAAAGCAGATTTCAAAGCGATGCAATATGATTCATTATTTATACAGCGTGCAGTGTGAAAATATGGGTAATCAACAACACCCATAGATCCAGAAACGCTTCCATAAATTTTCAAACAGCTACAAAAAAAGTGCAATTCCAAATGTATCAAGTTAAAGAAGCCAAGAAAGTCTCGCCTAAACTTACTAGCGATTATCTGCCTTTAATTGGTAGAAAAGTAGTTCTAGTAATAAGAAACTAATTTTATTTTTAATAATTATTTCTCCACAATAGAGAGAATTTGATAATATCGAGATCTGGGTTGTGACAAATATTAACAAATGATGTTTTTTAATGTTTTAACTTTCATTTTATAGAGAAAATATCACAAAAGCTTACATAGATCATATGAAACACAAAATAATTAGTGATTACAGCAAGCTCATCAGTTGGTTCCACTTGCAGTGCAAGATCTGATTCCTGCAGTCACGTACTGCTTACACAATTACTTACTAATTACCAATTACTTATTAATTTCTAATTATTTACTCTTACACAATTTTAAATTTGGGTTCTTAGGTTAGGTTAAGTTAGGGATAAGTTTAGGTTAGGTGTGGTTAGGTTACATACCCCTGATTTAATTGGTTTTTCCCTAAAATGGAGAAAATATGCAAGATGATTTTTTGTTACTGTTTTACAGACATCCAACTTCATGTTCGTCTATTGCTGAAGTCATGGCCGTCCTATTTTTTGAGGTGATGAAGTACGATATAAAACAACCACTCCACAAGTCCAGCGACAGATTCATCCTCTCAAAAGGTCACGCTGCGCCAATTTTGTATGCAGGTATCATTCTTTGTAAATTAAAATTTTGTTTAGTTAGAAAGTGATGTTTCCAATATGTTCTTTGCAACACTTCTTAAGTTAAACTACGATTTCAGCATGGGCTGAGGCTGGACTCTTCCCAACAAAGGATTTATTGAACTTGCGTAAAATTGACAGCGACTTGGAAGGTCACCCCACTCCAAGATTGAACTTTATTGATGTTGGAACTGGTTCTTTAGGACAGGGTTTATCAATAGGATGTGGCATGGCTTACGTCGGAAAATATTACGACAAAGCTTCCTACAGGTCTGTTTACTTAGGAAAACATGTTAAAATAATTTGAACATTGATCAAAATTGAATTTCCAGAGTGTACGTTTTGGTCGGCGATGGAGAAAGTGCAGAGGGATCTATCTGGGAAGCGTTGAACTTTGCGAGCAAGTACAAACTGGACAACCTCTGTGTCATAATTGATGTGAATAGGCTGGGCCAATCAGAGGCTACATCTTTAGATCATAATGTCGACGTTTACTACAACAGGCTCAACGCTTTCGGATTCAATACTTACGTCGTAGACGGCCATGATACAGTCGAATTGTCCAAGGTAAGATTACCCACCCAAGATTTCCTGTAATTTGATACATATCATTTTGGTCTGCCTATCCTCGCTAGGTGTGTCTGTCACACAGCATTTCGCCATCTTCAGCGTGTGATTATACCTATTAAAAAGAAAAAGATCCAACGGTCACAAAGATCGGCCAGAACAATAAAAAATATACATATAAAAATTCACCAAACCACAACCTATCCTATTATATCCTATCTGGTGTTCCTCATGGGATTATACGTTCGTTACTTTTTAACATATACATGGTAGACTTTCCTTAGCACACTGAAGATGGTGCAATTTAAAAAAAAAGCATTCTCGAAGTCTTTCTTAAAAATTGTTCTCCTTTGCTCAGTGTCCCTTTATCAAGATTATTCCAACTCTCCTTGTCATCCGGGACTTTTCCCAAGGTCAAGGACTCTAATTGTTGATGAGCTTTCTTGCTCATTTCCTCATCTAAGGACAGTTTCAAGGCTGATCAACAACTACAAATGTAATTATTTATAAAGATTTTGTATTGAATGCTCTGGAGAATAATTTTGAGGTACATTCCATTTATACCAACCTATCCAAAAATGTTTGGCTAAGTTGATAGATTTATCCTATTGGATAAACTTACCACTTTTGGTGTTGGTCAACCTTTACTGGATTGGGTCTCATTTTCCCTGGAGGGTCGTTCCTTCTCCATATCTTATAAGAATTTTGGTTGACTCAGGGATGAGGGTTCCCACCCATACTATTTTTTATTATTCTTAATGATGTGTGTTAACTCTGGCTATCAGATCTCTGTGCTGGCTGATGATTTAAAAATTTATAAAATTATTTCTAACTCAGTTAATTTAGTTTTACAAAATAGTGCGGCCTTTTCTGATTGGTACTCTCGTAATCATTAAGTTAAATTTAGATAAATGTGTTATAATTCGCTTTTCTCGCAAAAAAGTTGGTCAAATTACATAAATTTATTTTATTAATAATAGTACTATCTGTGAAGTCACAGATTAGTGACTTAAGAATGAATGATCTTCAATAGCATGTACGGTTGAAAACCATTATATTGTCACTAATAGGCAGGGTGCCCACTAGAGTGATGCAATATCCGATATGACAAGTGATGCGATAAACAATCTGACACTGTATCGCTTACTATGGGTAGTCCTTGTGTAAGCCACTAAACCACTGCACACCAGCAAAACCACGACACAATGCCAATAATTATCAGCGTCTTTTTGGTTGGGGCAGCACAGCTTGTCAATCGCTTCAGGCAACAGAATGGTGCGAATCATCAGTGAATCATGTTGTCTCAGCAGGAGGACATCTCTGCTGCTATTTCTTTTCTTAAAATAGTTGAATAGAACCCATGTTTATGGTACTATTCATTGAAAAGTTATTCAAGAACTGATTTAACAAGCTTAACATGGAAGAAAAATGGAAAAGAATGACCTAATTTTTCAAATGTCTTTTCTTTTTTTTCTTTTTTTAATTAATATAACTTTATTTAAACTTTTGTACATAGTACCTTATAGTTGTGGCATAATGTTTAACGGCATCAAACAGTTCTTGGATCTTTAAGCTCAGCAGCTCCCCCCATTAATTATTTATACATGATTTAATCTAATTTAATCACAGTTAATTATAGTTAGTTATCATATCGGTGTGTCGCTTGCGCTTGAGTCTGCAGTGTGGACGAGCAGGAGGTAAGTGGTCCGGTATTCCTTGGATTTCTGTGTTTGGGTGGGACTGGAACTTGCTAAATCTTCCGGTAGCTGTCTCTCAGTGCATGGTCCACTAGAGGAATGTCCAGGTCTCGGGGCAGTGTGGTATTTCGCACATACCAGGGGGTTCCAGTTAAAATCCGTAAGGCCCTGTTTTGAAATGTCTGGATTCTCTTAATTTGGCTGTTCGACGCCGAGGCCCAAACACCAGAGCCATATAGCCATATGGGTCGAATGAGGGACATATATATTAGTCTTTTGTTGCTCAGACTAATAGTTGGGCTCTAGTAAGTTGTGGTTTGAGGTCAATTAGTCTGCATCATGATCTCTTTAGCACATCGCTTATGTGTACACCCAGATATTTTGTGTGTGTCGATTCACTGATATTCTTATTATTTAGTACCAGTTGTTCATTGGCTTTTTTCAGATAAGTGAACTGGACTAATTTTGAATCAAATGTCTTGCTATAAAAATTTGACACCAGTCCCTTGTCCATAGTATATTGGAATATGCTTCTACAGTCTGGGCTCCTTACTAAGGTAAGGGTAGGGCACTTACTGAGAGGGTCTTAAATTAAATACTTAGTGTGTAAGATGGGGTATTGTATTGAATATGAGGATCTCCTCTTGATCTTCAGTTGGAGTCTCTCACCCATAAGCGAAGTCTGGCATTTCTGTCTTTTGGATGGAAGGTGCTCAATGATCTCATCATATCCCTGAGATTTTTGTAGCACTTTTCCCTTACCTTGCAAGGAACTTACAACGCTTGGTGTTCAGTGTCAAGCTGCACAGGACAAATTATAGATCCTCAGGGTCAATATTTCTGCTGATATATGCTGGAGCTGCTGAACAAAACAGGAAATATCGCTGATCCCTTCATCTTTAAATCAGCTTGCAGCCCTGAGCTAAAGAATTATAAAGCCTTTCATTTGGGGTATTGGTGGCCGCAGTGATTTAGGCATTGATACGGTGCTCATTACTGTAACATAAAGGTCCCTGGTTCGAATCCAGCGACCCTACTATCGAACGCGACATACATACAAATAGGCTTTTTTCAAGTACACTGGTACCACAGGGTTTAAAAAAATCTTTCTTTTTTAATTTTGTAATTAGTTTTTATCTACCTCATTTTTATATTTAGTGTATTTATTCTGCCTTATCCTTATATATAGTTTATTTATTTTTTATGTATTTATTTTGACAATATCTGTTACAGGCAAATGCCCGCGAAAGTGAAATATTAGATAAATAAACACAATGTATTATTTTTTTTTAAATTTTTTAACACAGATTTCCATCTTGAAAAAACTGAGATCACAACAAAAATTAAGAGAAAGGATATTCAAAATGCTAACTTTTGACTACCAACCTCTCAACTTATTTAAAAATCAAATTCAATCCATTTCTAGCAATTCCTAGAAGAAAAATAAGATAATTTTAATATTAAAAAAAAAAAAATGTAATAAAGTGTTATCTCTCTTAGTAACCACCTGCTAAAGACTGAAATCCCAAGGCCAATCAAAACCGAGACAGGAACAATATCGACAGATTCACTAATTTCGTGGTGCGCTTGACCAATTAATATATTACAATTAATTAAGGTTTTTAGTTGAGATAAAAAAGTCAATGGCACGAGCGGGATTGAAAAATGGCAAAAAGGAGAGAAAATTCAAAAGGTGTGGTTGAGATGGGAAGTTGGTGTCCGAGTGGATTGAGGTCACGATAGCTCAAGTGGCAGAGCAGCGGCATATCAAGCCGAAGATCGTGGGTTCGAATCCCGCTCGTGCCATTGACTTTTTTATCTCAACTAAAAACCTTAATTAATTGTAATATCAACGGAGTTGAACTGTGGAGGGATGGTTTGAGACTAGTTAGACAGTCCATTTGTGACAATATAAAGAGACAATATTACACAGCTTTGGCCAATTTAGACAGTTTCCCACTCTGTAGAGAGCTTCGTTTCAAATCCCCAAATTATCTAATGGATCTCGCTACCCTTAGATAGCATGCGGTGGATAATTAAGTGTCTGGGGGATCTGTTTAACTTAAACTACAAACACTTCAAGCAGCAGGATATTAACTGTGAACTTTGTAGTGGTACAGAGCGGGAGGATTTGTTCCATTTCTTGGCAACTTGCCTTGCACTGACCGCTGTCAGGAAACACTATTTTGGTAGGGAAACTGTGTCTAGTGAGATTCTGTTAGAATATATTAATATAAAGGACTGGGCTGTGTTGGTAAATTTCTGCAAAGAGTTATTCTCTTAGAGCCAGAATCAGAGGCACCTGGTGAGGGTGGAGGCGGCTTCTTTTGTCGGATTCCCCTGAATAGGTGAAAAGCTCATCTTCGACCTGAATATTATATTTTAAACACATTATTTGTTTTGTTTTTTACTATTTTCTCTTGTGGTAGATAATGTACTTCATTATTATTTATTTTTTCTTTTATTATTTCCATTTACTTTACTTTAGTTTAGTTTATTATTGAGTTATGTGCACTATAGGTAATCATAAATAAGAGATGTATATATTTGCAATCATATTTCAGCTATTATTATATAATTATGTTCTATTATTAGATTACTGAAATTTTTAAAGAAAGTATGTATTCCTTTTGTAAATATTAATTATAATTACTTGAAATAAGAGAGATTTTAGTTATATAAGTTTATGTGCTAGACTCCCTCAGACGGTTTTAAACCATGAGGAACGTCTTTCTTGCTCTGTAATATATACTGCCGATCTGTAAACTTTGTATATATATTAAACAATAAAGACATATAGTAGTAGTAGTAAACACAATGTCAAAACTCAACTGACAGACTAACCCAGCAAAGATAGGCAGACCAAGATGATTAAGAAGGAACAAATTACAAACTCAGTTTGTGCCATTTATTTATATTTTTTGAACCCCCCCCCTGACCTGACATGTCTTTTCTCTTAACATCCAAATTTTTTATATTTTTATGTGGTGCATTGCCTTTTTTTCTGGCTGTCTTGGAATTGTACATGTTGATTAGAATTGAACAATTATGAAGATCTGATTGTACTAATTATATTTATTGTAGGCCTTTCATGAAGCAGCCAACACCAAAGATAAACCAAGTGCATTAGTCGCTAAAACCTACAAGGGTAAGAACTTTCCAGGGATTGAAGATGAAGTGAATTGGCATGGAAAACCGTTGGGAGACAAAGCCGCCACTGTCATTCCAGTAAATATTCCGCATCGGCCAATAATGGATGTTGTGTTATATTTTTTTGTCATTTTTAGTATCTTAAATCATTGCTAAAAAACCCTGGCCCGACCAAAGTCACAGTGCAGCCTTTCAAAGACGATGCGCCTGCAGTAGACCTGTCGAAAGTCCATCTAAGCAAGCCTCCTTCGTACAAGCCTGATGACAAAGTCGCCACTCGTCTGGCATATGGGAACGCATTAATAAAATTGGCCAAGTCCAGCGACCGAGTGATCGCTCTTGACGGCGACACCAAAAATTCTACATATTCTGAAAAAATTAAAATGGTAATTAATAGTGTGAAAAGTTATTTCATACTTCCATTTTTTTTTCTTCAGCAACATCAGAAGGTGGTTGAATACCTATGCAATTACAACCCCTGTAAAAAAATCAGAATAATTGCAAAATGTTAACCCTTTAAAGTGTTTGGTCTTTTAAAATTTTAAACTTATTGATTTATAATTTGTTTTAGGTTAACCCTAAACAATATATTGAATGTTACATCGCTGAACAAAATTTGGTTGGAGTCGGGATGGGAGCAGCTTGCAGGGACAGAACAATCGCTTTCGTCTCAACTTTTGCCACTTTCTTTACAAGGGCTTTTGATCAGGTTTATTTTTAGAAGTAAGATTATTATTGGTTGCTTATAACGTATATTTGTTTTGTTTTGAGTAGATTAGGATGGGAGCGATTTCCCAGTCGAATTTGAACTTTGTCGGTTCGCATTGTGGTGTAAGCATCGGTGAGGATGGTCCCAGCCAAATGGGCTTGGAAGATCTTGCACTCTTCAGATCCATTCCAGGTACGATGAACATAAATCTAGATGAGACTGTAAATTAATCTGTTTTTATCACAGGGTCTACAGTTTTCTACCCGAGTGATGCAGTAAGTTGTGAAAGAGCCGTAGAACTAGCTGCAAACACTAAGGGGATCTGTTTCGTTCGAACCAGCAGACCGAACACTTCAGTTTTGTATCCAAACGATAAAACATTCCATGTATGTTCATATCTAATCGTCAAAATTAAACAATCTAACTGTATGTAAATTGTCGCAGATTGGTAAAGCAAATGTAGTCCGTCAGTCCAGCACAGACAAAGCGCTGATTATTGGTGCCGGAGTCACATTACACGAGGGACTCAAAGCGTACGATATCCTCAAATCAAAAGGCTACAATGTTAGAGTGCTAGATCCATTCACAATAAAACCGTTAGACTACAAGGCTATTGAAGAAAATGCTGCACAATGTGGTGGTAATGTCGTCGTCGTCGAAGACCACTATCCAGAAGGTAATAATTTTATTCGATAAAAAATTATTTTTAAAAATTACAAGTAATTTATGACGGTTTATTTAGGTGGCATTGGTGAAGCTGTTGCACGCTGCATTAATCATAAAAACATCACTATTAAGTACTTGGCTGTCCGTGAAGTTCCCAGATCTGGCCCTCCAGATGTTCTTATCGAGAAATATGGTATTGGCGCAAAAGCAATTGTTGATGCTGTCCTTCAATTTGTTGATCTTTCTTAAATTTTCTTATAATTAATAAAATCTAGTTAAACTAATAATCACTGTTTTTTTCTTTTAAATTTCTTTTTTATTTCTTTTCACAAACGTTCAATGCTGGTGATCTGTGTCATGACTCGCCACAAGGATGACCTGAGGTCATCCGTCATGAAGCATAATGTTTCTGGAAATAGGAAATGTTTGTCATCTGGGAGAGGGAAAATTGAAAAAGCTGGCCGCACTCAACATGTTGAGAGCAGAGGGTAACGAGAGAGTGGATGTCCTTGCAAGGAAAGGGGTTGCTATACCGCTTACAGGACCCGAGCCTTCTGTGGCATGGGAATTCACATCAATGAATACCTTAAACAAAAGGACAAATTGTAAATGAGGAAACAGTGGAATTCATTTATTGGACACAAACAATCCAAGAACCTCCTAACAAATTTCGGAAGGAAAGAAGTGATAGAAACAAGGGAAGCAGGAAAAAACTGTGAATCCTAACAGGATACTGCAAACTAAACAGACATTTAACGAAGATTGGCATAACCCAACATGGCATGTGCAGATTTTGCAAAGAAGTAGACTAGACACCAACACACTTGCCTACAGGAGGCAGTGCTTTGGGACATACAATCTGACCGAAGAAGAAATTCAACCACTGAAACCGGGCCTACTAATCAAATTCCTTTATGAAATAGGACTCACCGGTGTACTATATGACATTACACACCCCGTCCAATACATCTACATACGCCGAGACCACTTTCACAGAGCCCAGTTAGACTTTGGAGTCACACTGCACCAAACTGTAAGTACCGTTGGTTTTAGTAGATGATGGGGTTTGGTCTGCGAGTTGGCGAACTCATGTTGAACCGGCACACGGGCACTACTGGATCTTTCGTCCTAAACCCGCGAGTGAAGACCGATCCAGTAGTCCCCGTGTGCCAGTTCAACATAACCCTAGGTTTTGTCAAGGTTATTTGGCATGCTTCACTACCAAAAGTTTAATTGAATTCATTTTTCATTAATTTTATCCACCCACGAATTCTTCATAATTAATTCTCAACATTTGGCATAAGCCTTACCAATATATCAGCAAGGCAATTAATAAATAAATAATATATGGGGCTTAAGTTGCAACCTTGCAGTACACCGCAGACTTCAAGTTTGACCTCTCGGCTCTTGTATCCGAATACAAAGACTTTATCGATTTCTGAGATAGATGATGTAATAATTATACAAAAAAAAAATTATTTTGCAATTCTTTACAGCAATACTTTTCAAGGGAATTTTATTTCTGATTTCTGATTTATGTAGGGTCAAACCTGCACATGCACATGTACAGAGTTGAATCTATCACTTCTCGCAGTCCAATGGCAATTCCAGTTTTTGTAATTTACAGTAAATTACTGGCAAACCTGTTTATTAACGATTTACCCGAGTTTTTGGGTGATGGTCTGTTTGTCGGAGCATCAAATGTAAACTGTTTAATGTATGCAGATGATGTGGTTTTGATGAGTATTGAACCGGTTCAACTTCAAAAGATGTTAAACAGGTTGGGAGAATACTGCCGAATGTGGAATTTGTCAGTAAATTTGAATAAAACTAAGATTATGGTGTTTAGAAATGGCGGTAGGCCATCAAAGAATGAACGATGGTTTTTAGAAAATGAAAGAATAGAGGTAGTAAAAGAGTACAAATATTTAGGTGTAACGTTGACTCCTCTACTTTCCTTCAATATACATTTGACCAATAAACTTAGGGTTGCAAAACAAGGATTGAATATAACCTGGAACGGTATTCTCAATAGAGGAGATGTTCCTCTAAAAATTAAAGTTTTTAATTCTGTCTCTAGGGCTGTGATGTGTTATGCTTCACAAGTATGGGGCCACGATCAGTATGAAGTGGTAGAAAAACTTCTTTGTTTTTTTATTAAGAAGTTGTTTGGCCTCCCTATTATACACCAAGTTATTTTCTTTATTTGGAATTAGGCTTTAGACCTTTGTTTGTGTATACGTTGAGGAGTCATTTAAATTATATACAGCGGGTTTTGGGTCTGAAACAAGATCGTTTGCCCTACCTCCTTGCTCAGGAGATAAAAAAAAAAAACATTTTTTGGTTTAAAGAATTGGAAGTGTTGTCTTCCGGACTGAACTGTAGTTCTCGTATAAATTTTACAGATGCGAAAGATTTCAAAATTTGGGCAGTACAATTATTGCAGGCAGTAGAAACTCATCATAAAGAAGAATGTTTAAGAAAAGTGCAATGTTCTACATACCATTTAATATACAAGAAATTGAACTTCGATCTTAGAGACAACAATTACTTGTATAAGGAATACAACTGGAATTTGATCAAGGTTGTTTTTCGCGCGAGAGGTCAATTATTATATTTAAATTTTAAGCCTTGGCTGGAGGAAAGAGACCAAGCATGCTATGTATGTAAACTAAAAACGGTGGAAGATTTGTTTCATTTTTTGGCAGTTTGTCCAACTTTGAAGAATGTTAGGTTAATTTGGTTCCACAGATGTCGTTTGACATTCCATGAGTATATAGAACTTTTAAATGGGAAAGATTGGTTTAATTTGTATAGATATATTATAGATGCGCTGAATTGCAGAGATAATTTTTTGTTAAGTTTATAATTTGTATGTTAATTTAAGTTTTATTTGAATGTAAATATGTAAGGGTCAACTGGCAGATGACATTACAAGTATTATTTTGTTATTTTGTAAAAAAAATGTAATATTTTGTTTTCTTTTCTAAATATACTTTTATAATAAAATAATACTGGCAAACCTTGCGAATTACTCAACCCAGGTGTTGGCAGTCAGGGTCAGACCTCAGTCTTATCCATCCAGCCACTGAGGTTGGGCTCTAGGAGATAACAACAGTTAGGTCAGCACCCAACGGAATCATTCTCCAAATCCAGACCCATTCACTCTCTCACTCTTAAATGCTTTCTTCTTATTTACATACCATTCACTCAGGATGGTGGAGCACTTGATATTGCTCCACATGTATTATACAACTAACTGACGGTCGATTGGGTAGTCAATATTCTGCCATCAGCCCTCTCACACCACACATTCATGCTAATAAATATATTCACTCCCAACACACGCTACAGACACAAAACTGAGTACTATATACAATAAAACAGCCTTGTTTCCACAAAAAATCAAAATAGGAGCAGCTGTGCGGACATTCTCATATGCAGTGGTATTCCTACATACTCTCTATCGAACCAAAGAGTGGCACTTCAATTAAGTGGGACACATCAAGCAACATTTCTCTACACACCAGACACATACGCAAGCTTTGGCCCAAAAATGTCCATAAGTCAACTTCACTTGGCCTATCCTCAATCAGGTGAGGATTACCCTTCTTCTTCAGGACAGATCCTCCAAAGGCCACGTACGATATATCAGATATTCTGGTTCTTTTACAATTTATTTTGTTAAAATTTTTCGTAAACATAACTTCACCGTATCGTAAAAGTGTATACTTGTAAATTCACAATTTCCTAACATGATATGGGTACAGTACAAATAGCGGGAACACATCGATAACAGTACAGAAATGTTTTATTTTTTTCCTAATGAGAAATTAAAATTTAATAACTGTAAAAAAATTAACATTAGCAAAACATTCAATTCATCACACAAGTACAACTTCCAGGTTCCACTTCTTTTTTTAATAAAACATAAGGCATCAAATATAATTTTTTTAATATGTTCTAATAAAAAATCACTGATCCTTTATTTATGTCTACGACAAAGTTAGAGACCATAACAATTCTTATATTTATTTATAATGTAACAATAATAGAGAAACAGTGCCACTTAACATTCATTCACATTTGTTATATAAAAACTAAATAACAAAGCATTTTAAGTTGTATAATCAAAAGATTTNTACAAACTATATATTATTTATATAGTTTTATTTCATAATAACTAAGCAGACAAAATTTATAGTTCATTTGACAAAAAACCTAGTTTTTTTAATGAATAAACATTCCAATAACATTGAGTTTGAAAACTATGATGAAAATATTAAAAACAAATTGATTTAGTTTATAACGCTAAATTTTGATCTACCATTGCTTTTTTTAAATTAAATGATAGGCACAATAACAATTTATGTTATGTACATTTTATATCAAATGACAATGTTTAGTGATTATGTTTAAATGTATGCCATTATATCGATATATTTTTTTTTAATGCAATGCTACAATTAAATCTGGTGTGTCAGTGGGAGATAAAACAAGCTATACACTCAACTTTCCACTTAATCGTAGAAAAGCAGTCACATACCTAAACTTTAAAGCCATAATACTGATTATCAAGAGGGTAAATAGTTTTTATTCAATTATAAATTTATTTTATATAAAGATAAATTGATATAGGTGATAACAGAAGTTTATATACCGAGTTGTTTTTTTTAAATATGTATTTCAATTGAACAAATTAAACTGGGACTTTGATATAATAGTTGTGTTTATATAAGTAAACAAGAATTTGTAGCGACTGAAAAAGTACATTATATTTTATTCTCAAAATTTTAACTGTTTTAAATTTTTTTAACCAAGTCGTAAAGTGTAACAAACCGACAGTTGTTTATTCTAGTTTTTAAATAAATATAACACATTATTAAAAATTAAAATACTTTTTTGCTCTAGAGTACAATTTTAGAGTATTTGGGCACTGATAACTTTGATATTTTATATTGTAACAAATCCCTTGCATTTTGAATTTTTCTTTTAAAATATCTATCGGGCTATGCGATGTTGAATTATCAAGCATGAAAATTTTCAGACTCAAATTTAAAATGTAAGGTTTCAAAATGTGTCTTACTAAGGAAGTTGAACTTTAAGACTTACACAGTTTTTTAAATTTACTGATTAAGTGTATATTATAACAATAATACCAAAGGTACATATAAAAAAAAAATAACATAAAATTTACATCATTGAAAAAAATAAATAAATAAAACAGGAACTTAGCAGTAACATTGAAAAATTTATTTCCGGAAGACTTTTGTTTCATTATGAATCGGTCGAATTTGTGAGTTCACCGTTGAGCAAATTTGCTCTGACATTTTTTGTTCCGTTAGAAAGGAAATTTTAACATGCATGAATATAAAATAAAAATAGTAAAACAATTTGTTTTTCTAAAGGACTCGGTTAACATTGTTTTTTTTTTTTGGATATCCTTGTATTTCTTTAGATACAACTTTAATCATCAATAAGGTATTTGTAAACAGTGCCAAATGTCAGACATTTTGCAACTTTGATCCTATTCGAAACATTAGAAAATATAAAAAATTTTCAACTTTTCTTGTTAATTTATCTCACTTTTTTATGTCATCAACAATAGAAACACGATTATATTCACATTAAAATGCACTATTACGGCTAGTCTGTTATGTTAAAAACCTGCAATAAGCAACAAGAATTGGCATTAAATGAAAATGTTTGTAACATTTTCTCAAGTAATCAGCATACTCTAAGGCACAGGCAAAAATTTCATTCACAGGAATAGAAAATATCGGCTACATATACAATGCTTATATTGTGAAATTCCGTCATTCTATTTAAAAACAAAAAGAATTCGCAAAAGAAAAAATATATATTAAAAAAAAATTCAATGTACAATTCATTCATATTTTCACTCGTTTCCTGATCAATTTATGGGTTGTTTTAGTTTTACTTTTACTCTTCAGTTTACTTGTGACTGTTAATAAATTGGGTTTTTTTAATTGGACGGAACTTAATGTTTCATCTGAATCATCTTCTTTTTAAATGATTTTTTTTTAAACATAATATTGAAACTATTCTAAACTAATCAATGTTTTAACGCTCCACATTAATTTAAATTTTTTTAAAACTAGTTCTATTAAAAAATAATAAAGTATTTATTAAAATGTAGTAATTTCCTTGTAAGAAAAATATATTTAAAAAAAATCAAATATTACGTTTTAATCTTATTTGGAGGTTGTCTTAATTACTTGTAGTTATTGTTATCCATACTGTATTGCCGTATTTTATTTATTTATTTTTTAATTGTCCAAATATGGTGGAAATTGTGAGTTGTACTATTTAGTTTAGTGAAAAAGTCTACTTTTTTTTGTTAATCAAATAATCTTATTATTTAACAATTTTTTTTAATTCCTAAGAAAGAATTAAAAAAATGTCTATTTTTCTTGAGTATGAATATTTGAATGACTTGAAATGTTTATTAAAAAAATTTGGATTTAAATTTTTAATTTAATAATAAGCAAATCATATAAAATGAACCTATTATATCATATGAACAAATTATATAAAATTTAATTTATAATATATAAAATTAACATCATAAATTTTTTTGTTGCTAAATTTGATTTTAGAAAGTGTTCAATTAATACAATTTTTTATGAAAATTGTACAAGTAGGAACTATTTATTGACAATTAAATCTTACAGTTTACAACTATTATTTACTTATAAAAATTTTTAAAAAATGTATGCAAAGTGGAAGCCAAAGTTTAAAAAAAAATCTCTTATTAAAATTCTAAAGAGACTAAATATAAAGACAATGCATTCAAAATATGCGTTGGTTTGTGAATTTCGTACTGCTATTTTCTTTTTAGCATTTTCCATCAAAAGTAAGGAACTACGGTTTAACCGTGCGATTCAGTTGAGTCGGTGAATGAAGGATTTCATTGTACAGTGTCAACTACATGTTAAACTGTAATCAGTTCTCGATATTATACAAATTACAACAAAATCGTCGAATTATAAGATATGTCAAGGGATGTAAATAAATATTGATTTGATTAATCGCAAATTGGAAGAGTTTCAATACATTTTGACTATTTTTGGAGAGAAAAAGTTCAATAATTGGTCCCCAGTCTGAGTAGCCGCAGTGCACACACAAAAATTTGTTTTAATAAAATCAGATTTTTTTTAATCCATACAAATACATATCTACTATCTACTAGGGCAAAAAATTAACATAAATCTGTTAAAAGTATTTTTTGTTTATAATAGAAAAATTAAATAATATTTTTTTATTTAACAGGAAACATTGAACAATTGGACAACAATTGGATAACAACAATGTATTCATTTATAAGGCATTTTAAATGTTTTAACATTAAATAACAACTATAAAACTTTTTCTTTGAATAGACAGAAATTTTTTTCAAGCTTTCCTATAAATACGAAAAATAACGAAAGTGATAGTTTTTCTTTTCTTTTGGATGTTGTGTTATTGCTTTGAAATTTTCCCTGTTTCTTCCCATTTTTTATTTTATTTTATTTAGTTTTTGAAGTGAATATATGAATGATTTGTTAAGGACGGGGTATAAAATAATTCAGTACATTGCTTTAACCGTGCGCCATTGTATATGTATATGTATATTTACATATTATGCATTGTTTCTACATAAAAACTGTGTAAAACAAATTAATAGTTAAATGCGTTTTTGTCTTCTCTCAATTTTATTGTCAACATATTGTTTTTAACGACAACTAATCATACTGCCACAATTATAATTATTTTCATCTATTTTAATTTAATGACTGTTGATAAAATAGAATTTACAATATAGGGAAAGATCACAGGGATTTTTTATTTATTAGTGGTATATTGATTATTCACAGATGTTTTGTGTTCTAACTTTTTATTTAAAAAAAAAGCTCATTGTTTTTTGTTTTGTTTTTTCATAAAACAATGCTATTCTTTAAAACTATGCAACCATGCATATCCTAATGAATATCATGTGCAATAAGACAAATCATGCCAATATTAAATTGTAAAATTCCTTTTTTAAATTTTATTATTGATTAAATATTTAGGCTTCAATTTTGGGTGTATATTGATGTTATATTATCATCCGTTTAGAAAATAGTCTCTTATTTTAGTACTTTTTAGAAGAAATCACAAAATTTAAAGATCAAACATTAGTATTCATTCAAAAAGTGCTAATCAGTTGTTCCATTATTCAAGTTTTCACCTATTATTTTATATATTGATTTTATTGCATTTTATAAATATTGCAGTATCATTGCCAAATATTTTGATAAATCTGTTGTTGCAACTACACCTGCTTGTGTTAATTTTTTTAACAATAAATATTTCTTCATAAACAGCCAAATAAACAATTAATTACAATTTCACCAACTCATACCAATGTACATTTTATTAATTACAACAATATATATTCATTATATACATTACTATAGAACAAATTATGCAGTTGAAATGCTGCCATCAAACATTAAATAAGTATTTGACATCTATAAATACTCCTAAGAAATAAAAACGCTGTAAAGTTTTTGTTTCATCATAAAAGCATTACAATAATGATAAACCGTTTTGGTTTTAATTTTCTAATACTGTTTTTTGTTAAAATTATTGATATGTTATTGAAAAAATAATCAGTGCATAAGTAGAGAATGTTTTTTTTTTGGTATTGTAATGAAGTTGGATATTTAGGCCACAGGTGATGAAGTTCGAAGGATAAGTCCAACTTTCAGTATGTGCCCCAAAAATCTGTAAAAGTAGATAAGTTACCAACATCGAACATCCAACTAAAAACTTAAGAGTGAATTAAGTTAAAAAATTACTGGGACAGTTTGATAATTTAACCTTCTAATCTTGACAAGGGTTAAAAATCACCATTGATATAAATGGACTTGTGATTTATGAAATTTTCACCTTCTAAATTTGTTGTAAGAATGTTGTAACTTTTAACTCTGGATGAAAACACCAGGTAAGAGGCAAGATTCATAAACCTCCCGAAATGGTATAGAAGTTAGGTTAAAAAATAACTGGGACAGTAGTAATTTAACCTTCTAACCTCAACAAGGGTTAAAAATTACCCATACCATTACAGTTCATGAAATTTTCAAGCTCTAATAAATTTTGTTACTTTTTGCATTGGCTCGAAAAAGAAAAACTCAAGCACATGATGTAAGCTCCAAGTATGAGGCAAGCTAAAAGATTCAGAAACCCATGAAAAAAGGTAGATGAAAGAATAGTATAGAAGTTAGGTTAAAAAATAACTGGGACAGTAGTAATTTAACCTTCTAACCTCAACAAGGGTTAAAAATTACCCATACCATTACAGTTCATGAAATTTTCTAGCTACTCATAACACACTACATTATATAAAGGTAAATAAACATAATATTAAACCTGGTCAATTGGTCAAGCGGACCACGAAAACTAGTGAATAAAATATTAAGCCATGATTTGAGACATGAAACTGATGATGAACTGGGTAGTTTTTACCCCTGTGAGTATTCTTATTTCGGAATAAAGGGTTAAATACTGAATTATTGCTTTATTATATTTGAGACTTCTAGAAATCTCTAGATATTATGCAAATAATCAAGCCAGTGATAAACCTATAATATAATTTAATTCTAATGGGTTTGAAGTGAAAATCGTGATCCATTGATAAAGTATGTTTAGTATGAAGTTAAAAAAAAATCAGAAAATATAATATGCTCTGAAGTTAAGAGCATTGAAGGAGTTGTACCCAACATAATGGCTCAGTTTTTTTATATAATTCTCCCAGTATCTTTGAAAAAGGCTCACCTTAGCATTTCTTGAACATAAAATTATTTTAAAAATTGTAAAAAAAGGCAAAAAAATTTGCTTGAGGTCTGAGCCTCATTCAAAACAGTAAATTTAATTATTTTACAATGAAGTGTGTTATTACCTGACTTCATTTTCATTTTCAGTTATAGAAGAGCTTTAGCTGAAAATCACACATTTTTTGTTTAATTTAAATTACATGTATATATATATTAAAAAATAGAATGCTGAAACATAAAAACATCATTATTGAGAATAAATTATAATAATTTTCTACCTTAAAAGTATTCAGTTATTTCAAAATCATATAATCTATAATGCATAATATATTAGTAACATAAAAAAATTAAATGCTTCAATTTTGATATAAAAAGAGGCAAAGACTTACTTTTTTGTTGCATACTAAGTACGGATTCGGTGATTGGTGATGATCCTAGATCTTCCAAGAGTTTTCTAGATCGTGTAGGCATATCTGGAAGTAATGGCATAGCATGAGGTGTACTGTAATCAGTGATTGGAGAGAAATCAGTAAGCCTTTCATAGACACCAGATGTATAGTCATCGGTACGGAACGTTGATGCTATTCTATCCATAGAACGGTCTTCGGCTGTTCTATGCGACGTGTAGTCGCCGATATTTTCCCTTCCGATAAGATCGTCTATCGACTTTAGGACACTAGACATCGCATAATCACCAGTAATAGGAGGAGCGTTTCCCAAGGGTGCATAACCTGTAAAAAAACGTATTAAAATAATTCTAAATACTTGAAAAATAATTAACTTAGGTTAATGAAATTTTAAGAACATTCAGCGGGTATTGAAATACAAAATGATGTGTACACGTGAAATAAAATAGTTTTAATTTTTTTTCTCATTCAATATTCTCATTATTTTGACTTTACGACTTGGTAAATACTAACTAAATAATATCAAATTATAAAATACTAATGATAATATCTTAAACATATAAAACAAGTCAAAACAAGTTTCAGGTAGGATTTTTAATAATAATAACAATAATACTCATTGAAGATGATGATGAAGTCTTCTCAATTGAATTTCCCTGTAATTCTGTGCTAATGTGTAAATAAAAATAAAGTAATTCTTATTGAGAAAATTTAAATTTTATAAAACAAAATGACAACAACTTAAGCCAAAAGTAATTTGGCAGTTTTTCAGCAATTGACATCAATGTATTTTATTGATTCTATTATTTTTAACAAAAAACAGAATAGTCCATTTATTTATTGATTATATCATATTTTTTATTGATAAAAAAATTAATTAATTAAAATAATAATAAAACTGGAAGTACTTTTTTACTAATTTAGCCAAACATACATATTTATAAATGGTACTTCTTTTTAAAATAATAGGCTAGGCTAAAATTTTTAAGTAGTCATGCTCATGGGATGTCATAAAATATTTTGAATATATAATTAAATATTTGTGTTGTATACAGGGTGATTGTCTCAAATTTACCAAGCAATATATTGTAAAAAAGAAGAAAAGCAAGGGTTATTTTAGGTAAAATGTGCAAAAAGGGTTCTCAGAAGTGATTATTAGATTTTTTAAAAATTCTTATGTCCTATATTCTTCAAAGAAAAAAGAAAACAGGACTAGATAACCAATAAATAGGCATTTTTTATTCTCATTGTTGTTTAAAATTATCTCAATGGTGAAAGCAGTATTTCAAAAAGTTAATTATATTAGAAATTACTTTATTTAATGTCCTTGTTGCATTGTATAAATAAGTTGGTTTTCCGTAGTCAGTTCTCTTCAAAATGGAAGTCCCATTGGCTGATACGCCAATGTACTATCAATCCTTGTAGAATACTCTGGTAAAATGAACACACTATTATTTGTTACAGATAACAAATTAAAAAAAAAAGTGTTAATTCAAACAAATTAATTAAGAAAATCACAAAAAACTAAAGATAAAATGTTGAAAAGTCATTTACAGATTGTTTTACACATTCAAAATTCATATAATGAACTATCTGACAGTGTAGGTGTGTAAAAACAAATTTAAAAGTTCAAATCATTTCATAATTATTTTTTACTGCACTGGAAAATAAGGAAAAATGTGGTGCACTTGTGTCAGTTTATATTAAAAATAAAAAACCTATATTATAAGAAATATTATTTATCCTTGAAATGACATATGGACAATTCTAAAGAGAATGAGCAATTAAACACGCTATTATGACTGCAATTTGCCAGTCCTCCAGTAAATTTAGACATTATTATGAATATTACTGTCTTAAATCAAAGGTTTTATACATGATTTCAAAGAAGCTTTTTATCCAGGAAATATACTCTTGTTCATTCGGGAAAGAAACTTCAAGGTAAAGTGCATCAGAAGAAGCCGTCACTTTGCCACCATGATCCCTAGCCTGGACTTATTATTTTAAAATTGTTTGGCAAATACTTTAAACTTTAGCTATAAATCCTGACTTTTTATCAGAAAGGTTTTTTTTAGTCAATTGTGTTCATACTGCAGGAAAACTTGAAAATTGAATGGCGCTTTTCTCCTTTTGTAAAATATATTTTCGATCACCCTGAATATGTTATATTGCTAAATTAAATCATATTTACTACATTAAAAAAACAGTTACAACCTTTATAAATTATCTGAGAATACGATGTGATTTTGATATAAATTATAAGCATAATTAGAATGAATGTAGTTATCGACCAGCAGGTTTTAATTCTAGATGTAGTTAAGGATTGTGATCCAATGGATATCGGACCACAACTGTGATCTACATCTAGAATTATAGACATAAATAACTTATTTTTATTTCTTACAAAAAACAAAACATAAATGTTACATGAACAAGCACAGTATTCACATCAGTTTTGGGGTCTGATAAATAAATTTTTTTTAGTTAGATATTCACCAGTTTTATTAATAATACAAATAATGCTAGGCAATAAGCAGAAGCTAACAAGAGTAGTGTGAAAGTGTAAGAATTTAAGATTATTAACTGGCTGTGTTATAAACAGTTAGTCAAAATTATACAGCATAAATTAAAAATTTTTATAACAGCATAATTACACCTCACAGTTCTAATACGATTGAAAGTTTGGCCTGGCAACCTACAATAATTTCCATATTCTTTTCTTTTTTGAACTTTTCTACTAGGTTTTGTTTTCTTTGAAAGCTTTTAGATCCTTCCATACACATATAAAATCTTAACCTGACTCCTAAGCACAAAATAGTCAGGTTAAGTCTACAAATAATAGAAATACTAAGGAAGGGAGAGGTCTGAAAGCTTTCAAACAAAACAAAAACTGATATAAAGTTCCAATAAGAAAAGTAATGGGGCAAAAGAAGAGAAGACACTATAAATTCATGTGGAACATAGGAATAATTTTCATGAAAATATAATATTTAAAATGTATAGAAAAATCTATTGTGTCTGTTTTTTTAAAAGCTTTCAGATTCCACCTTACAGATAAGAAACCTTAACCTGACTCCTAGCCATAAAATAGTCAGGTTAAGTACACAAATAATAAAAATACTAAGAAGGGGCCAGGTTTGAAAGTTTTCAAACAAAACAAAAACTGGTGGAAAAGTTCCAAAAAGAAAAGTAAAGAAGCAAAAGAAGAGAAGACACTGTAATTTCTTGTTGAACACAGAAATAATTTTCATGAAACTATAATATTTAAAATGTATAGAAAAATCTATTGTATCTGTTTTTTTTAAAAAGCTTTCAGATTCCACCTTACAGATAAGAAACCTTAACCTGACTCCTAGCCATAAAATAGTCAGGTTAAGTACACAAATAATAAAAATACTAAGAAGGGGCCAGGTTTGAAAGTTTTCAAACAAAACAAAAACTGGTGGAAAAGTTCCAAAAAGAAAAGTAAAGAAGCAAAAGAAGAGAAGACACTGTAATTTCTTGTTGAACACAGAAATAATTTTCATGAAATTGTAATTATATTTAAAATGTATAGGAAAATCTATTGTGCCTGTTTTCTTTTAAAAGCTTTCAGATCCCTCCTTAGTCTTAAGAATTCTTAACCTGACTCCTAAGCACAATATAGACAGATTAAGTCAACAAATAATAAAAATACTGAGGAGTCACCAAGTCTGAAAGCTTTCATGCAAAACAAAAACTGGTAGAAAAGTTCAAAAAAGAAACGTAGAGGAACAAAAGAAGAGAAGACATCATAAATTCATGTTGGACAAAAAAATATTTGTCTTGAAAACTTAATGAGGAATCTATTGAGCATGTTTGGCTCATTATTTTTAATATTTTGGTGCCTATTTTTTTCCTTTTGCCTTATATTGGTTATATTGTATGAAAATATCGGTAATAATGGTATTTCCCTTTGATAATAATTCTTAGGAGGTTGTACATAAATTCCAGGACAATTTTTAGCAATTTAAATATAAAAGCATATATAAAAAAGTTATGAATACCCATAATCATTAAGGCAATGAATAACGATCAAATAAACAAAAAACAATACTCTAACCTCCTAATACTAATATTTCTATATAGTATAACTATACTTTTTTGCTGAAAGTTTCAAAGCTCCTTGAATAGCCTCTACATAAACTATTTTTGTTCAATTAGTAGTTGAATATTTGTTTTGGCCTAACTATCCTCGAACACTATGAACTGGATGTTAATCAGCAATGCATTGCCTTTAATTTTGTATAAAAATCAGGAATAAAGCCAATTTGAAAGAAACGACAACACTCAGCTCCTTCAGCAAGCTTTCAAGGATTACAATTCATATTTGTCAATCTGGTGAATTATAATATTAAGGGCTGATTTCAATTATTTTGAATTCAAAATTCAATTCAAAACACCGATCGATACTGGAGATATGTACAGCAATCAGGCTGATCAATATGTCCACTAATAAAGTTTAGAAAATATTGATCTTACTATTAATTTTTCATTTCTTGTTATAAATTAGAAAAGGTTAATTTTTTTAGGGTAGACAAACTATTTATTGCATCAGTGAAGTAAATACAATAATAAGTACAATGTTCTAGGTTATGTTACATCATATAATGTCATAAAACATTAGCCTAAAATTCATATAACAACTGAATATCGATTTCAAAAGATCCTTCGGCCTTCTGATTTATAGAAAAAAAAAATCAACAAATTTGGCTAATCTTGAAATATTTTTAACTTTGTTTATGAACTTTTTACAATATTACACCGACAAAACTGAACAATTAGTTTTATATTTAAACCATAGATTGATACATTAATTTAATTTTTGGTTAGGAAAATGCTTTAAAATTAATCAGGTTGAAAAATTAGTAAAAGAAAAACATTTTGAAAATGTTTTTTAGCTGCAAAACTTCATTACATTTCCATAATTTGATTAATTTTAAGAATGGTATATTGAAGCTAATACCAGAATAATTGATAACAAGAAAATTTAATTAAAGCATTGATAATAATCATATCGCATTTTCCAACTATTACATAAAAAATAATTTTCTTACAATAGTAATTTATATACAATACACTCCTCAAAAATATTGTCATACCTTACAAGGTTTGTTTATAATTATCGTAATATTATTTGTACCATGAGGTTTGTTCGTTATTAATTAGTTTTTGCCTTTTGTTACCTCTGGGGTAGTAATTTCTCTCTATTTTATTTATTATTACTTTTCTTGAGTCAGAGCAATTTAAGCCATGAATCAGTCAGGATCATCACTCTCTATGAAGAAATCACTGCATTAAACCAT